TGACCTACCTTATTTTACAAGGATGTTTTGGTCTTTTTAAAATGTATGATATTTTACAATTAAAATGAATTAAATATTAAAGATCATTTTCGTCTTTTCTCATCTTTTAAGGGTATGTTTGGATCAATTTTCTGACAGATGGTGTCTTTGTTAAAAAATGGTCTAACTTTCACATGCCTATCAATAAGACAAACCTCAGGGCGTGTGAGTATAATTAACCCTATTTATTTTCAAGAATGCAATATAGAAATAAGGTAATCATGTTCTGCGGATGTCGTGGGCTACCTAACACCTTCTCTATGCACAACCAAACCCCCGAGCCCATTAATCTGATTTTCGTAAACTAAGTGGATGTCAAATACGTTAGGGCCCAAATTAGACCTCTCATATATGTGTCCATCTATTTTTCCAAAGTCTTTAGACACCATGGGCTTATAAGCCGCCTTCACCCAAGCTCATAAGGATAATAGTCACCTTCAACTTTTTTCAATTGACTAAGGTTCCCGCTCATCGACTACCCCTGGGTATTTGTTCTTTTCATATTCCATGTGTGAGTCCTTTCTTTTTCGTATAATCCTTCCAGGCTTGAAGAGCCGAGCTCATAAACTCCTAGATCAGATTTAACAGGGCGAGCCGGGTCGTGTTCATTTAGATCACAAACATGCACTTCAAGGGAAGACGCCACACCATAATCTTATGCTAGGTGGCGACTCCGATTATTAATAAATTGGTCCTACTCCAAAATAAATAATAATTGGCCATAGTCACTCGATCACATTAAGTCCATTTTCTGACCCGTAAGTGTTTCCCTTGTAGAGGGCGGAAAAATTCGGGCGCGACAATTTCCTTTAGATGCATTTCAATCCATAACCAAGATATTTTAACTAGATATTATAATAAACATTCTAAAATATTCTAGCACTCTACAATGTTACCTGTGGAAGATTATAAGAAACCCAACTTCCCACGTTGACCAAGAATGGAGATAAGAACATTTATTTGCCATATCATCCAAAATATGTCCTCCTGTATTTAATTTCAGGACATTTAAGAATTATTTTACACTTGTCTCCCAAAATATAGTATCAAACGTGATCAACGCATCAGACACATCCTATTTATAATCAACAAACACATTTGGAATTAATAGATACATGAGGTTCACTTTATCGCATTCCTTATATTTTACTCTCTATTCATGAGAACTATCACTAGATGACTTACGAGATTCATCCTCACTTAGCATCCATAAGCCCAAAATAGTTGGTCCAATCAATATCTTGATGGGAGAAAAGTGAGTATTAACAATAGAAGCATTCATAACGCTAAAGAAATAAAGTCATGCTATTTACTAAAATACAAATGTAAATAGCTAATTTAATCAAAGGTTAACCCCAAAAATTTTGTATGCATGGTTATACTCTCTCATTTGGATAAAAATATAACATGCAACAAAACTAATTTATAAAATGTAAAATTATTAAAAACCTTAACACCTTTGGGTAAAGATATGTTTAAAATTTTACATTTTATATATTATTTTGTACCATTTTTGAATTGAACCAAATAAAAATCTCCTTTGGGTGAATTATTATTATGTTATAATCTAAAAAAGCAATTTTGATAAAAAAAAAACCAGAATTAAGAAAATCCTATAAATTTCATAAATGAACTACTTTGGTAGCACACCCAATCAACCCATTAGAATTTTCTTAGAACATGATCAAATCTTCAATTACATGTTATCACAAGCATAAACAAATAATGACAATTTTTTTTATATATTTTGACATACTTCAATGAGTTAAATAATCACATAAAAATGTTAGTGTCAAAATATTTAATGTGAAAAATACACGATGGCAATTTATATTAAGAAACTTATGAATATTAAAAACACAACATAATTGTGCCACACTTAATGTCATTATATAGTTAATCTTGATGTCACGCCCCTCCTATATAATTGGAGAATTCTAAAAATGTGTATTAACATGTAAATTGGACAAATTCTAATGGGTAGAGAGTTATATTAAGTTGTAAGTATCTTAAATCATTTTCCAAGAGTTTTCTAAAGAATAGATTTTAGCCATAATCAAGGAACATAATTTTTATATAAAGGGTAGGAAAGACGTAACCGAATCGCTAAAAATTAAAAGTGATTAGCCTTATAAAATACAAACACTAACTTTATGTATGTTACAAATATTTGACTATATTTAACCTTAGTAAATGAGGTTAGTAAATACTAAACCAATAGTAAACTCTCTTTTTCTTTCAAAGATTCAATCTTTAAACATTAGAAAGGTCTAGTGCTAAGCCAAATTACCATCATAGGAAGCTACAAGTACTAATTTTACCACAAGTTATATATTTTGTCCATTAGTGGTAATCTAGTTGACAATAAACTACTAATCCAGATGGGAATGATAAGTTAGATTGTATAATCGGATACTATTCTTCCAATCTAAAAAGGTTATCAAAATTATCATATAATAATATAATAGGAAAAATAGAAACATATGCAAAACAGGAAAACACATTACCAAAATCTAGTAAAATAAAAATACACAAATATCCCATTAAATATCTAGGTTATGCTATAACTTTACGATAAATCAATTCACGACACGAATTACAATTCAGGTTTCAAAATAATGCAATTTGAAATTGGAATTTGATAAACAAAATAAAATATGTTACGAAATCGTATATAAAAGTTCTTGAATTTCAATGATAGGGTATATATCAAATTACATACGTTAATAATAACCAATCCCTAATAATCAACACTGTATAAATAATCGTAGGGTTGTGATGTTATTTTCTGATTTAATCCCAAAAGATTTAATCCTATATTTAATCACAGTAGTGACAATATATACTTTGTTACTAAAATCAAAATGGAATGTGTATGGATGGCATACCATATGTAAATATATTTAGGAAACCACACACATACTTAACACACAACAATAATAATTAAAAACATGTAACGATAAATACTTGCGAAAGCCATTACGCAACGTGTAGCAAGAAAGCACAACAACCAGCGAGGAGTAGAACAATGTATAAGATCTACAAAAAGGACGTTTTGCTTGATCACTAAACTCATGAGTCTATCTAATAGGGCAAGACTAACCAAATGTAAGCACACCGTGTGAGAGTGGGGACCAAACAATATATATAAAATATCTAATAAAATCCCTTCCATCAAGGGATCTTTATCAGATCATAACAAACGTGGGTTATGTTTAGCGCATTATAAGTAACCGTATATAATGTTAATACATGTTATATATATATTTATATCCTTATCCATATCTCATAACAGATGATTACAAGTGACTAAGGTACACCATAACCCATATATTCAACAATCACAACTGTATTGGTATCTGGCAATCTATATTTGGTTTCAATCATTAATTCGGGTTTTCATATTATTAAATGATAATCAATGAAAGCCCAAAAATTCTTACATCCATTTGATTAAATGAAAATTAATAATGAAAATTGAAAGTAAAAGAAAATGAAGTGAATGCAAGAAAAATTAATTTTTGATGGTGCATTTGATTGAAGGATATTAACATTCATGTACATTAAACTTTTTTCAAACAAGAGTAGATCTTGATCTAGTTTCTTTGATTTAGTTTCAAATTAGAATATACATTATAGACATGTGAATCTAATAAGTTCAATTTCTTGGAGATTGTATTTTATTTTTTAAACTCTAAAGACAAATAAGTCCTATAAAATTAACTGGCCAGTGGCCTAACAATATCAGCTTTTTACTTTCTAAAGGAAGTTTAGGGGTTCAAATCTCATAAGAGACAAGTGTGTGTGAGATCCAATTAGAAAAAAAAAAAAAAAAAAAAAAAAAAAAAAAAAAAAAAAAGTCTTAAAAAATATTTCCAAAGACAAAGAAGTCCTATTTTTTAAAAATATTTCCAAATAAGTCCAGTTTCAATGAATAATGAATATTTTTTCAAGATTACCCTTTATTGCGAAGCAAGTACTATTACCCTTTTTTTTTTTCCCACCAAAATGCAAATTTTCTCTTTACTTTCAATAGTTTGTAACTAATAATTTTTTTTTTTTATAAAAATTATAATTTAAAAAAAAAATTTATTTGTTACCAAAATAACTAATCTTAAAAAATTAATAAAGTATGTCAAATGCACTTGTGATAGACACTCACATGTTAACATATGAAGTGGAAAATTAAAAAAGAATTGAAATAATTCGAAATGTATTTATGAAAAGTTTTTCATTGTATTTTAACGTGTGAGTGTTTGAAATACTTTATTAAAATATGAATTAAATCTTTATTACAAGTTATCAAATTTGTCTTAAATTTTGAGGATTTTGATTTGCTTTTTAAAAGTTATATATATATATATATATATATATATATATATATATATTGTACAAAATCGAGTAGTCTATATAAGAATTTTGTTGATAAAGGTTCTTGCTTCCAAAAAAAAAATGTGCATATAAGTTTGTGTGTTTTTTTATTTGGGGAATTTAAGTGCATAGGATTTTCCACTCCATATCTTGTGTAGAGATAGAGAGCACCTTGAGGAATCAGACAATTACAAAGCAGAAACTCAAGGTGAGGTGATAAGGCCGATATGGGGGAGAGAGTTTTCAGTCCAAAAAGAATATGAAAACCTCCTCGATCCATACAATTATAATGGGAGTTTTCATACAGTTGGAAACTCGGTTAATGGAACCATTATTGAAGTTTTATTCAATTTGATGATGTGGAATAATATAAGTCCTAGGTATAAAAAGAATACCATGTGTCAAAGTCTTATTAATCCCATATTTTAGAAACATAATTCTATAATAAATTATAGAGACCTCCAAAAGATCCTAAAGATTTTTGAAATGGGCTTATAAGCACACAGTCCACAATTTTTCCAAGTCAATTCTCAATTCTCCATGTTCTAACCACAACTAAAATTCAAATGAAGCCAACAAATAACTGTGTGTTCTCTTGTTATTTTATAAATAAAAAAAATTAAATTACACTAACCAAACAAATGGTTGAAAATGAAACTAAAGAAGAACAGCTTCAGCTTATAAACCAATTCATATACAAACTGTATAAATGAATGGAACTATATACCTTACCTTACCTAACCAAACTGCAATTAATTCACTTATCAAGACACTGTTTGTGTCAAACAATGAATCTAAAATAAATCTTCTATCTTCTTGGTGTATAAAAAAAATGAATTATATATGCATACAGTAGCCCCTTCCTCAATAGTTCTCTGGGGGGCCTTCTAATCGAATGTAGTCATACATGACTCCCATGAAAGGGCCTGAACCTCTCGACTGTGTTAGAAAGATTATGTTCCTTCCATTGGAAAGCTTCGAGCCAGAGATATCAACATTATACAACCTGTACAACCCATGAATCCCATGTCTTGCAATGGCATTTTCTCTCCCTATAAGCCCTGTCGTAAAGTCAGGTCGCGTCACTTTTGGGTTGTTGAGCCGAACCTTCAGAGAAAAAATAAACCATAAGCAAATCATATTAAACTTGACCATGTTGCTGCGTTAATCTGTACATAGCCTAAAACATCAGGTTTCGAGATCAATTCCTCTGGACGGAGCCAGAATTTGGGCTGAGGGGCACAACTCTTGGCTTGTACATAAACCTATACATACAAAACTGAGGTAGGTATTTTCTGATATTACAAAAGATACATATGGTATTTTGTGCTATTATAAGAAATTATATACATAATGTCAGGGGGCAGCTGCCCCATGCGGGCATTATCAGCCTTCGGCCCTGCCTAGGTGTATACAATTTCTTAGGGGGTCACGTTAGAGACATAATCTGAGTTTTACCCCATCCGTGTGGAGGGGGTTCTTTGCACGAGTCCTATAGATTAGTCGGACAAAGTGACACCCCAGTTATCAAAAAAGTGTCCTTTTTTGGGAAAAATATTGAGGAATGATAATATAGCGCAGTGAAAAATAGGTTGCATACTTGCAGTTCAGCCATAGTGGCCGATGCCAACGCCAATCGGAGTGTATAAGTTCCCATTGGATTCACATTTTTTAGATCGAATACAATTTGCCATGTGGTTGATACATAAGTTTTATTTCCCAAGTTCCTGTAAAAAAATAAATAAAAAATCAATTAGAACCACATCTTTCAACATTAACAAGCTTCAGGTACTGAAAAAGTTGAATCAAACACCTGTTAACATGAGCAAAAAACCAATCTTTTTTGTAATCACTAACGCCAACAGTGTAGATGAGATCATTGTTAGGATACAGATCTGTATACCGATCCCATAACCCATATTGCCTAAACCTGTATAAAAAATAAAAAATAAAATTAATAATTTTAAATTTTAAAAAAATAATAATTTAAATTAAAAAAATTGGATGAGAAGCTTGATAAGAACTAACTTGTCAGTATGGTTGTTGTAAAGCCGGTTCATGAGGGTTGAAGCTGGGTCAGGCACGTAGAACTCAGCCGCGGTCCGGTCAGGGAAGCCTATTTTCCAGAGGGTAGGACCACTTCTTAGAGGATAATATATGAGGTCACCCAATTTGATTTCAGATCCTGTTTGTGAAAATCATATTGATAATGGTATTGTGTGAGAAAGTTGGCTAAGATATATATATATGGAAATCAATGGAGTGTTGGTAGATGTAGAAGTATAAACCTGGTGTCACAGTAACTTGAACATTGTACATGTAGTCCCCAATAACACCAGGTACCCATGCATACAAGCTATATTTCCCGGCTCGGACGCCTTTAATAGAGAATTTACCCTCTGCATCAGCTCGAGTCCAAAACTGATAACCCTGAAAATAGAAGTTTTAACGACCATTTATTCTAAAAGTTTAAATTGATAGAGAGAATATAACTTTAATATTTATATATCATTTAACATTTCTAGTGTTTAGGATTAACAAATTATCCCGTCCCGCCCGCCCCTCCCCTATTGGTGTGTTTAATCAGAGCCAGGGTGTGGGAAAAAAAAAAACTCTGCGTATCAATGAGGGTGTGGGAATGTACGAGGAAAGGTACCCTGTCCGCCCATTTATATTGCATAATTACTTAAATAACCTCATATAATACTAATGATACGAAAATATATCGCGTAAACTAAAACATTAAAATCATAACATCTTAATTTTTTACCATTTCATAAGCTCGCGTCCTTTCAATTATGTTTTTCAAAAAAATTGTTAAATGGAGCGGGTTGATCCGGACGGAGTGTGAGAATTTAAACAGGGTCGGAGAAGGGAGATGGGGGGACTTTTGATAAACGATTTTGAACGGGAATGAGTTTTACTTTGTTAAACAAAGATAGGGATGGAAAAAAACCCCTAACCCGCCCTCATTGCCATTCCTAACTCGTAGATAGTCTATTCTAAAAGTTTAAATTATTAAAGAGGTGTAAAGACACATTGACCTTCTTTATACATTGAAATGTGTGTAAGCAACGAAGATTCACCTTGTTTTCTTCTTGCCATGATCCTGCATCTCCTGGTGGCGCAAACCCTATGTAAGCTGCGCTTGCTGGCATAAGTTTACTGTCCTTGTACCTGAAACAAAGAGAATTGGCAAATTTGCAGTGGCTTCAATAATGTTATACATGATAATGTTGAAATATATATATATATATATATATATATATATATATATATAAGTGGGTGTTGCAGAGGAAGGATATGTACTTGTCGCGGACTAGTAATCGTCCATGAACTGTGCCCCGTTGATCGGCATGAGGGAAGTCTTCCGAGAGCGGGAAATTATATGGCCAGTTATTCATTTCTGTATGCATCTGAGAAATATACAAAATGTGAGTTTAGAGATCACTAAGAGTTCATTATACAAAAATACACTATCTATATATATATGTACATATGTAGATATTTATATATCTGTTACCTGTGATTTAGCATCTTCCCAAAGGTTTTGCTGGTGGCGGTCATCGTTTGAAACAGAGTTTAGATAGATAAAAACAGGGCCGTAGACCTTTTTCCATGGCTCTCCATTTCGGAGTTTTAATGTTAAAGGCTCTCCTGCGTAATGGGCACTGAAAAACATCTGGACATAGATAGCATGATTTTAGAATACCTAATATATATATTTTGCAATTTTTGTTATAATACATCAATAAATATTTGAAAATTTTGAGTTTCAAGTGTGGAGCATAGTATTGTACACTTTAACACAAGCTATTTTTATTTAGGGTATTTTAGTAATTTTATATTTATTATGTAGCTTTAACTCTATATGAGTATAGTGGGCCGTTGTTGTTTATTGAGTAGAAGTTAATGTCTATTAATGACATCATGATAATGTCAGCCCTCACTTCATAGATAGGAATGTCAACTAGGTAGGTTCGGGATAGGGTAGCCCTTTAACAAACCCTTCTTACCAGCACAAATTTTTTTTCCAACCCGATTCGAACACCCTGCATCAGGATTGGGTGAGTTCGGGACGCCCTAATATACATAATTTTTTAAGAAAAACAATTCAAACTTGTATAAATTTATTGTACCTTAACCATCATAATAACAAAAATGTTATTTATATTATCATAAGAAATAAAGGAAACATAAAAATTATGGTTAGTAAATTAATATTAATTATTAATTGGGCAAGTTACTTTGCGGGTTTTAAACTCCTAATCCTATTAAAGGCGGGACAAGGAGAGGCCGGGGTTAAATTGATATCCTATCAGTGGACTTAATATGAATCTAAATATCCATTCCTAACAGTTATTTAAATTGTTCAGGGCCATGGACTTTGTATTGGGCCTAGACTGTTCTATAGTAAATAGTTTAGCCTTGGTCTTTCTTTCAGCTGATTTTCAAAAGTTGTTGGGTCTAGTTCCCCTGTTTGGCTGGGTTTTGACCCATTATGCCCTATTTTTTACACAGAATATATAATTGCTTGATTTTCAGAAGACAAAAAAAATAATAAAAATTTAATTATAAGTATTTTTTATTTTAAACTTAATAAAACTAAAATTTATTGTTGCAAGATAATTTTATATGGAATACTTACTGCTAAAGTTGTTGGGCCAACGTGGGAGGTGAGCTCTTGCTTGAGAGGCCCACCTGCGCGAAACTCATCACTAGGTGTGATCACCCAGAATCCTACGGCTGGGTTGGAGCTGATCCACCCATGAACCCGGTTGTCTTTGTTATTACTTGAGTACTGGTACTTGTCATCCACCTAAGAAAACAAAGCATAAGAAAGTAATACATGCAAGTCAGATATATGAAAAATATATAATAACAATAAAAAAATTGGTATAGTTTTCAGAAACCATTTCTTGTTTTCAAATATTAACATTGAAAATGATGTGAAAAAACTCCATTGGTGAATATTTTAAGAAATTATTTTGAATCCCGTAAGCGGGAATTCATTGGTAAGTTATATAATTGGGAGTATCGAATTGATGCCTTGGAATTAAAATTTGATTGGAGAAAAATTTTAAACTAAATATTTTTTTATTCTAATTTTTAATTAAAAATAAAAAAAAATAAAAAGAGAGAAAAATGCAATGAAACTGATTGGAGACCTACCTCCCCTTTGAGGTCTGGATTTTCCGGATTCGTTAACAGAACTGCTTCTTGGTAGTCTAGGGTTTTACCACTGTAGCGGTCTTGGTCCGTAGGCATGATCCTTTGCCTTTTATCCGATATAGCCATATAATGGAACCTATTCATAAACCATACGTATAAATCATTCAACATTACTCAGTACATATACTCTCCCGTCTCACATATATCGGGTAATTATCCGTCAAAAAAAATTTTTGAAATTTTTTTTTTGAATTTCAAGGAAAAAAGTTCTACAAATTTTCTCCACACTAAATGCCTTATTCAATGCAAAAGAAACAATTAAATATTGAAGGACAAGTTTGAAAATATTTTCAAATACGAGGTTAGGTTCTTTATTATATAATTAAAATAGGAAGCAAAAGTGTGTGTATATAATATTACTGTTCTTGTTGAAGCTTGAATGCAATCCTTGTTTCCATAATGGTCAGATCTGGCCATCCCTCTTGGCGCTCGTATATCGCGTATGAGTAGAAACCAGGACTACTACGCAGCATTATAAACCTGCGTAGGCATTTACAAATTTGCATAATAAATTCTCCCGCGTGTACAGCACTAATTATACGTTGAAAAATTTACCTTTTGTCTATGCTTAGTGGAATGGTTTCGGAGTCATTGTTCCATGTTCTTGAGAATGAGAGCTCTATTTGGTTTTCATCTTCCATTATCACCCTGAAATTGGTTCCTTCTATCCTGTAAAATAGCCATTTTATGTCGTTTCGAAGGGAATTACATTATATATAGTGAAAATTTTAATCACAAATGCTACCAAACTTACTGGTAAAATCTGCTATCGACATGTCCTGAGCTCCAAACGACATCCCAATACCTAAAATTGTGTAATTTAATTAATAACAAATATGCATGGATTTGAAGAGTAAACCGACCTTGATTTTAAATTATTACCTAAGCATGCAATAACATGATTATGTTAATGGAGAAAATTAACATTATAAACACTTCATGTCAATCTTTGGAGTTGAACTCCTTTTGTTTGCATATAAAATATTTTTAAAAAATATTTTTTTTATTTAAAATAACACAATAATGGTACATAATTTCAAGGATGTGAAAAAAATATTTTTTTATTTAGAATAACACAATAATGGTACATAATTCCAAGGATGTGTTTGACTAAGAATAAGAGTACGTAATTTCAGGACCTATATGAGAGAGAGGGAGGAGTTGTTTGTTTCTTTAACTACAATAATGGTAGGTCTTATATAGTTGAAGGATGTGTTTGACAATTGCAAGGTTAAGAGTACATAATTTCAAAGAGAAATAAACGTGTGTGCGCGTGTGAAAAAGAGAGTGAAAACTAGGGCTAATATAATTGAACTTACCCCCTGGCTTTTTCATTATGACCGTCTTCCAGTAAATTGTCAATTCCACCATATTCTATCCCAGTCACCATACCCATAGGATTTGACAGAGTCACTTTGACGAGCCCATTATCCATCACCACCTGACAAAAAATATATAAATATAGATTATTATATATAATATATAGCTACTTCATCCCATAAAAGTTTTTCTTTGTCTTAGCTTAAATATTGACTAAAATGGAGTTGTTAAATGGGTTTATCAATGATCATTTTCATGACCAAAAATGTTCATTTATTTATTTTTATTTGTAACACGATAACCCTTTATTCATTAAGCTATAGTTAATATTGTGAAATGTCAAACTCTAGGTCAATGTTGTTGACTCAAGTATATGACTGCTATATATATATATATAGTAATAAGTAAATTTTTTTTTCAAAAATTATAATAATTAAGTTTGAGAATGTAAATTTACATGTTCATCCAGTCTTTGCAAACGGAGTGGAGGAGATGAGATCAGTTCTCTGCCGTTGATGTTCTCGGAAATAGTTCTGCATGTTGAACAAAACAAACAGTGTCTTAGATTTATGTAGAGACGTATGAAATAATATAGGACAAACAGTGTCTTAAATTCACATGAATTCTTCTTGAATTAAAATTAGGAAGGGAATAAAATAATTTAAATAAATGTCCTCCCCAAAGAAGTAAAGGTAAGTCTAATTTACCATTTTACCCTTGAATAAATAAAAAATAGGATTTAAAAAAAGAAAAACATAGTGCTTCCTCTTTATACACACACACACACACGAGTAATGCCACGTTGAGTTAAAAAAGAAAGAGTCATGATCTCTTATATGGTTAAAAAAAAAAAGGAGGAGGAAAACATAGTGCTTCCTCTTTCCCCTCATAAAGAGGAAACTAAAAACTGTCCAAAATGGGAGGGAGAGAGCAAAAGAAAATAATTACAAACTGAATTTACAAAGTAAAAATTTCTAGAACTATATAGTTTGAATATATCAAATCAGTTAAAACTTACTTAACTATTGATTTGAACAAGATTTATGGTAACAAAAAAGGGAAAGAGTTTTTAGTTTGCCGTTAGTGATAGGAAAAAAGAAGCACCATTTTTTTTTTTTTCTTTCCTTTTTTACTTGTAAGAGTGGACTTATTCTTTTTTAACTCTTACGGAAGAGAGTTTTTAAGTTTTCTCTTTTCCATTGCCTATCATTAGTTATATGTATATATATGTGTGTGTGTATATATATACTTTTGATCCAACTATAGTAAGGAAATTAGAAGCATGGTAACAAATAATTAGGTCACAAATCACAATATATAGGAACAACTAAAAAAGTAATAGTTGGAACGCCTTGTTTATTTTATTATACATTGTCTTCATCACCCTACTCTTTGAAGTTCTATCTGTATATATATATACACAGACACACACATGTATATATACTCACACAAACACACACATATATATTTAGGTAAAAAAAAAAAAATGAAGAAGAAGAAGAAGAAAAGCACATATAAGTGCATGGTAGTGTGTATAATATACATAGAGAGAGAGAGAGAGAATTAGAAAGGAAAAACAAACCTGACGGGTCTTGCAGAAGATTGAACAATCAAGAACAACTGAACAACAATCCAAATCCATCCAAACACACCCCATTGCACTCTCTCCATTTCAAAATCACTCTATAATATTAACCTGCAAAACACCAAACATATATATACGTGTGAATACATATATATCTACAATTAAACTGTATTAATTAGAATCATTACTAAAAACGAACGTTACAAGAGAAAATTAAGCCATTGATATGGGCTCAATTAATTATTAATTAACCACCTAAACAAAAAAACCTAAAACTTTGTGTACAAGTATATATAATAATAAACCCACCTTCTCACCAAACCAAATATAAGAACTGTGTGTAAATAATTCTTCACGACCCACCACCAGTGTATATTTATAGATTTCTGAGCTCATATGATCTCCTATAAATCTGAGCCACCTTTTTGTATCTCCTCACAAGATACGTACTTTAATTGCACTTCTATTTGGATTTAACTGCAATTTAATCTTCACCTTCAAAACGTGCACACACACACACACACACACACACATATATATATATATATATATTTAGATATAATATATACAATATACGTAATTGAAAAAACGAATAATATTACATATTGACATATTTATATGACAATAATGACATACCTTATTATTCTTACTCTCTTATTATTCTTACTCTGATCAAGGTGAATGTCCTACACGTAATTGTAGATGAAACATGACTCTACATCTATGCATACATGTGTGTGTGTATATATATATATATAGAAACTTATGTCCGTATATTTATTTATTTGTATATTGGACTATAAGTAGATGAAGATTGACTTGTGATTTTATTTAGGTTTTCGTTAGTGTTGGGTTACCAAATAGAGTGTTTTGGTGTTTAATTGACTTTAAGAAAACATAAATTTGGTATATTGGCATTGATGGGGTGTGATACTGGCTTTAACATGTTGTACCAGAGGGGTACTTTTGTCTTTTCAATGAAAAGAAAAGGGTAAAACTGTCATAATAGTACGATCGTGAAGACATTGATTTGTCAAACCTTTGATATTGGGTGGCTGGACCAAACTTTGACCTTAAACAGTCTTCTCCGGTAATTGGCCAATCAAGTAGTCAAACTGTATTCATCTGTTGAATATTGATTGGAGAAATATATAATTAAATCAAAGGTGTCTAAATTCGTCATTACGTAGTTTTTCAATTTGGTTGAATTTTAGTGTGGGAAAAAAACAATTAAAATTAGGCAACAGAGTTTGTTTTTCTGTGGTTGAATATTATTAGAGTGGAAAAGAAACTAATTTAAGAACCAGTAATTGGACTTCCTGAGCTTACTTTGAGAAGAAAAAATAATACGTTGTAATTTATTTATTTTTTAATTACTTTTAATGAGGTGGAAATTAAGAATTTGCATTTCTTTTCTTTGCTTTTTTTTAAAAAAATATTGTTTGTGTAAAGGGTTCTAGTTATTCTTATTTCAATTAATGTTAGGAATGCTTTGATTACAAATTTGAAAGGTCAATTTTGTAACAATGGTAGCCATAATTGAAAATTATAACTAAAAAAAAAAAAAAAAGGCACAAAAATATTTTAATTTTTTAAAACGAGCTAAATGCTTAGAAGGTTCTATGCAAATTGCAATGAGAAATTTTTTGGGTTTTTTTTTCTTTTTCTTTTTTCTTTTTTGGCTAAATATGCATTGAAATTCCAGTGCGGCAAGTACTTCCAACGGAAAGTCTAATGTACCTCTTTCCAAGTACATTCCTAGGATAGAAACTTCCATATTGGAGGTCTTTTTTTATTTTTATTATTATTTGGAAGTAAGCAACGCTAACACAAAATGTTTTCGGTGAGACTCCAACTCTCAAATTTCATTTTACATATATATTAAGAGTCAATTTGGGGTTGTAATAAAAAAAGTGTTTTTATTAATAGAGCTGTCAAAAAATTATGGCCAAAAATAAACACTGTAGTTGTTTGGTGACACAATATAATAATAAGTATTTTTTACAATTAAATCATTTTTTAATTTATTTGGTAGCAATTTTTTTAAAATATTTTTATTGCTAATTTTTCAATAATATCCTCTAATATAATGTTACCATATTTGATAATAGCAACTTTATTAAGAAATGGGTGTAATTGTCTTTATAAAAAATTAAAAAAACAA